ATATATATATAATTATTTACACTCATTACTGGGTTGTATTTAATGTTTTTCTTATTATCTAAGTAGGTAGCTTGCCCTGATTGGAAGTTAAAATAATCACTACTTTCAAATATTTAAATGTGTTTGTAACAATTTCCTACATCTTTTGAGCTAACATAAATTGAATTTGAAGTTAATTGCTCATGGAAAGGACAAAGTTTTCATAATGTACAAAGAAAATTGTACAAGTTCTGTGGTTGTTGCTATGTTTCAGATTACTGCTAGTCATGTGGTATTCCCCAAAATGAAAATTAGTGGAATTTGCTAATTGGGTAATCATCAGGCACATTGATTGATTACATTCAACAAATTGATTATTCTCATATGAACTTACTTTTCTATTTTCAACTTTTTTTATAGTTTTTAAAGACATTTTTGAACAATTTTTCATTTATATAATAGACATCTTCAGGTGCAACAGTTTAGGATGGAGATACCCTTTTAATCCTAAACTGTTGTATATAAATATGTATCATATATGCATCATACTTCAAAACCTGCAGTAAGCTAAAAATACAATTAATACTGTTCCATGGGTTTCTCTACAAATTTTCATAAGACTTCTAAAGCTAAATAAACTAATTCTTCATTAAAACAATTTTATTTACATTTTGTAATAAAAATAATAAAGATTCTTATTAGAGCATGAGATAGATAATATATAATTCAGAGAAAACAAGATTACACAGATCCTATAAAGATATAGATAGTATAATTAATGGTTTACTGTTTGGCAAAAACATTTGTGATGATACAAGATGATCTCTGTGTAGAGAATGAAATGATTTATAAGGGGAAATTAAAGTGTTATAAGAAATATTAAAGTCATCATGGTAATATGAAAACATCTTTATTACAATTTCTAATTTTTTTTAAGTCTGTCATCTGTTTGAAAAACTTAAAAATATATTTTACAACTTCATAAGTATAAGAACATTGTCTTTAACATGAGAAGTTGTTAATACAGACTGTAATTCAGAAAGTACATGTCAGAATGATTAATATATTTATATTTTATAGTTCAGGCTGAAGAAACTGTTGAAACACACATGGGTACTGTGAAATTAGTTAATCAAAAACTTAAACCTTACTGTAATAGATGTTTTTTAAACAGCATGTCGTGAGTGCTTCCTGTCTTTGGCTATTTAGTAACCAATGACTGCCCTTATATTTGTGAATTGTGTTTACAGGCACAATGCATGAATATCTTTGTGCACTGTTGAGCCAATGAAAGTTATAGTTAATATTTCGATTACTTGAATGGTTCGATTAATTGAAAATAGTGATAATCTGAAACTTTAATTTTGATTAGTTGATAATTTTTAAGACATTGAGTTAATTGTAATTTTTTATTAAATGATTATTTTATGTCATACTAAAGTATGTAATCACTGCTCATAAGTAATCAAATAATCAAGGTAATCATCTGGTTCTAATATGTACAAAGACTAGAAGTGACTCGTATGTCACAAATTAAATCAATTGAATACTTGTTTTATATTTAAAGTATTTTTATCAACCTAAAATAAACACTATATCAGGTTTACTCATAATTTATAGACGGACAGTAATATAACTACTAATTTCCTGAACAGCATTAAATAACATAATAAAATAAAATGATAAAATATGTTTGTAATTTTGAAATCTTGCTAGTAAAAAATATACAGTGAACTAGTTAAACACAATATAATTTAAAGAACAGGATTCCATAGTGAATGATTGCTTAACACATTATTTTGGACACAAGTTGTAAAGAACAGGTGACAAACATTATAAAATTTAAGATTTGTTTCCTTCTTTCAGGTTCCTTCTGGTGTATTTACAATGTGTCGAGTTTTCAGAAAACACGTGAGTACTCCTGTCAAAATTATCAGAAAATAGGTTAAGTTGAATTTGCTTGTATACATTCATATGATCTATAAAGAAGCTATAAAAATATTTAGCTTCAGATATAATTTCAGACGTTTTGTGTTTATTTGTTATGGTATGGTAAACTGTAGACTTTTCTACTTTAAATATACTTTACATAACTGATGAAAATGTCTTTAATATATAAGTTCTTCTGTAATTCTTATTCTTAAGTATTTTACTCAGGAAGAGCTCAGAATTTGATTATATTAACAATTGATTTGAATAAAAGAGGTTTAGCGAAATTATATTAATTTATAGGTAACTGAAAATGTTTGCACCACCATAATCTCGAACTCAGTATGTTGAGACCTGTCATCTCAGACTAAAAGTTTTAGCTATCATACAGTTCAATACTAATGATTGCAATAAATATATTTATGAATGTTATTATTCACGTTTTGTGAAATTAACTTTAAGTTTATTGTGTACTAACCCAAAAAAAATGGACTAAATATGCTAGCCCACCTTTTTATCTGACCAAACTTTTAGTAAACAAGTATTTATTTTTAATTTAATAGCCATATCTATTTATTTATAGCCACAACATATATATAACTTGAACAGAAGTGGCTCAAAGTTTAAGTGGCAGAGGACTGGGGAGTCCATCTGGGCTCATTTGGTGGTTTAGGGAAAGGGGTCTTGGAAGCAAAACCTAAACTCTAAAATGATTTTCAACTATTTTTAATGATTAAGAAAAAACTCCTAGAATATTTTTATTCTGTTTTGAAATATCTTGTACTATAGAATAAAAAATACAAGAAAAGGTCCTTCATTTCTATTGCCCTCTCTGAGAGCATTCATACCATGAAGATAGAATTTCTTGAACCAAGTTTTTCAATAAAACCACATTTAACCTTTGCAATCTCCAGACATGTTCTACTTCTAGCTCTCATCATCAACACTTTAATAGGATCTTTGTCACATAGCTCATTAAACTGTTTACATTCAATGGCTCCAGGTTTTTTGGGCAGTGCAATAACGATCAATTTACTGAGATCTTCTGGTATTTCAACACTTTCATTGATCTCACTGATAATAATTGTTAACTTTTCTATACCAGTTTCTTCCAAACATTTTTTCTGCTGCAGTTTAATCTGGTTCTGCAGATTTATTGGTTTCCATTCTGTTGATAACTGTTCGTTCTTCTCACTTAAAAATTTTCAATTTATCCATGTTCTTCTTAATACATGGCATTTCTTTACAACCATCATATATTAAATCTTCAGTATATCTTGTCAATCTTTTCAATGCATGTTCTTGTTCCATTATTACATCACCATTGTTAACATTTATACATCCACTGCAATGCATCCTCTTTACCTATGATGTCTTTAATATTCCTAGACATTGATGTTACATCTTTATCCTTTTGTTTTTCCATTTCTATACATTTTTGATTAAGCCATTTTTCCTTTTCTTTATTGCACATTGATTGAATTATTTTGTCAAGTTTCTAATATACTTCCATACTAGAGGTTTTCATCTTCTATGAGCTCAAGAATTTAATAAACCAATACAGTTACAAAAGCTCTATTTTAAATATTCATTTAAAAAACTCAAAGTAATACTTCTATTCTGTTCAAATTATAACTCATATTAGGTAGCCAAACATATTAGCGTACAATACATGCAATTTTTCATTCTTTTGAAAGTTTTAAGTGCTTAAATTTTCTGTAAAATTACAGTGCTAATTAAGAAAAGAAGAACACTGATGAGTACTATAGCTTACAATTATAACTAAAAGCACTAATCATTTGGAACTCACCGACTCCTTCCTCCTTGGATGTAGTGTTGAATTTTACTTAAAATTAGATTTTTCAAGATTGTCTGAATCATCCACCTGTGGAGTAAAAGTTTTTATTTTAGTTTTTTAAATACATATATCAGTCATATGTCTCAATTCTTAGAGCAAAAATAAAAAAGTTCATGTTTGAATGGCATATTTTTCTTTACATAAACATTTGCAGTGCTTTTGGAATTAGCCAAAATAATCCAATGCTGTTTCTTTCTTACATAAAATATGTACATAGACTGTTCTCTATGTTAAATACTTTTGTATTAATTGTGAGCTTTTGACCTTCTTATCAGAGCATTCATCAGGCAACAATGACCTTGATTTTTTTTTTTCAGGTTCTCTTGCTTCAGAAAAACCAACTAACCACATTAAATGGTGGAGGGTCACTTAATGAACTCCAAGAATTAAAGGTTAGTGAACATATAGAACAAGAAAAACAGAGCTAGTATTAATTAAGTCATTAAGTACAATCTATCTTTTAAGGCTGTTGAAGGTCACATAATATGTAAGAATAATGATCAGTTAGAAGGTAGAATCCACAAGTTCAAAGTATTGCTTGTCCAATACTAAATGTTATTATGTAGTCAGAATTCATAATGAAGGTACTGTTCTGTTGTTTAGAATATCTTAAAAAAGTGTTTGTGAATAATTAAATATAAAATGCATACAACAAAGGATTATATGGTCCTTCATGGCTGTTGTTGCACATCCTAACCCAAGAAAGGTTAAACTCATCCTTTGTTTCTCAGAAAAACATAGATTCCCTTCTCAAATGTTTATAAGATGCTAGCTATTACCACTGATTACAAGCACTCATTCATTAAGTTAGAGAGATAAAATTGTTTTAAAGGGAGCTTTCATCCTGCTGTCTTCAGAATTTAATACAAAGAAGTGAGAGATCTTTATTCTGTTAATCCCCAGATAATCATATAAACTTCAATAAGATCACCAATTAATAGGGTATATAATGCCTTATGCTTATACATTGTCTATTTGTATGACATTACAATGCGATAATACTGACAGTTTTTAACAAATCTTTCTTTACTGGCTCTGTATTGTTTGCCCATAAGAAAGATATAAAAGCGTCTTGACTATACATGTGTGCTACATACTACTACCAATAAGGCCTTTTGTTTAATACCCGAGCTCAAGTTCACTGAACGTGTACCAAAGCTTCAGTCAAAATGCCATTCTGATTGGTCCTTAAAAGATATCAATTATTATGGTACATAATGTAATGTCACATAAACAACTAATCTGTAGCTAATTCTTCACTAGTATTAATGCTTTTCAACTACACACCTCTTGTTCTGAGTACTGCCAACAAGGCGTTTCAGTCAGTATCATATCAGCTGTGCATGCCTAACATATGGAAATTATTAAAATAACACGGTTTACAAAGTGTTTTGTAATAAAATAGTCAAACAAAATTTTAAAGTATTTTGTCTTATTTTTTAAGTACAGTACATATAAATTTATGTAAGTTAAGTTTACAAAAACTGAAGATTAATGATTAAAATACAATTCAGAACCTAGTATTATTCAAAAATCTTGGAGAGCTAAAGTAAAGGTGGAATCAAGACTAAACAAAGTTTATCTTCAAACATTAAAATTGTTTTAATTTGCAGTAAAATATATGCATGGTAACTACAGTAAAAGTATATTTTTTTACATCCTGAAGATATGTCTTTTGCTACATTTATTATTGTTTAAAACTGTTATTGTTAAAGATGATTTAGTAATACTGTACTATACAACATTAACAAAGAATCAAATTTTACATATCCAACACTTCCCATGTCTGAAAAATGCCAGCCAGTAAAGCTTTTACTTTGTTTTATCAGCAGATGTTCTCTTTATTAGTGAGATTCTATCAAAAATATATTATTAATCTTACAATCTACATTGTTACTGCTTTTTTTTTATTTTAGGTGCTTGATTTACACTCAAATAAGCTGCCTACTTTGACTGATGATATAGGCCTTCTCAGAAATTTACAGGCAAGTTGAAAAAATTTTATACATAAATTAAAGCATGTTTAGTTTAGAAGTTTTAATTTTTAGTGATGTTTTAACCCTTTTGTTCCGGGTATCCTTTACTGCACATGACACAAGGTTTTGGTGTCTTACATTCAAAATGTTATTAAACTACTTTTTGGATTTCTCGAGGCCTGTACTAAGGGTATCTTTATGAAATTTGGCAAGCTTTTAGTACACAGTACACATCCGTTGTATATACAAAAATTTTATTTGAATGAAATGTGATTTTCATGCTAAGAATAAAAATGCTTCCTTTCATCTGATAGTGTTCATATTTCATTAAATAACCTCTAGAACCTCTTAATTGAATATCAAATGTTTTCTTTTTTGTAAAACTTTATACTCTGTCTCTTATTTTCTGTATACTGCTACTGTCTGTTGCAAAATCATTCTAGCAAAAGATAAAAAAAAAAGTTTTTTATTCAAGAATGACTCCATTTTGCAACAGACAGTTTAATACAACCTCAGGTTCCTTACAGTTTCATTTAGTATTATTTTTCTTTGAACCTTGTCTAACTAGTGTAACTCTTCTTAGTGGCTCAGCTGTAAGCTTACATACAGTACTGTGCAAAAATGTTAGGAAAAAGTCAAAAATTAGATTTCAGACTACTTTCAAAGAACAATGGAAGGTAAATCACAGTAAATTTATTAATCTTCATATTTAGTACAACAGAAACTCTGTGGAAGTTCTCAAGTTCAGCAGACAGTCTTTCAGCATTGTTGCAACATATTTAATCAAAGTGTCCTTTGAGATTTTACTCCAAATGTCTCTAATACACTCCCATAAAGTTTCTTTGGAAGTAAATTTTGATTTGTCAAGTTTTTGATCCATCAAATCCTAGATCTGCTCAATTGGGCTGAGATTGGGGCCCTGTAGGGGTTATTGCATCATTTGAGTAACTCCAGCACCTTCTTTCTTAGCTAAGTAATTTCTGCATAGGTTAGTTGAGTGTTTGGAGTCATTATCTTCTTAGTAGTAGAATCTTTGCCAGTAATACGCAAACCACTGGGTGTACCATAACGGATCAGTATCTGATGGTACTTGCACTGGTCCATTATTCCATATATTTTGCATATATCTCCTGTTGCCTCAGCAAAAAAACATCCCCAAACCGTCACACTGCCTCCCCCATGCTTCATGGTAGGTGCTATGCATCAAGGTAAATATATTTCACCTTTCTTCTACCGGACGTACAACCTTCGGTTTGAACCAAATATTTCAAACTTGGACTCATCCATCCATAATACCCTTTTCCAATCATCAACAAGTTTTTGTACTTTTTTAGCAAATATCAATCTCTTGACAATATTTGGAGATCAAAGTAAAGGTTTTTTAACTGCTACAGGACCAAGTATTCCATTCTTGTTGAGTCTTCTTGATACTGTAGATCTGGACACTTTTCTGTCATTTGGTGCATGGTCGTTTATCTCATGCTTGAGATCAATGGCAGTCTTCCTTCTGTCCCAAAGGCTGCATAAATGAAGATATTTAACATCAGTATCATTGAGTTTAGATGTTCTATCTCTTCTTTTCCTATTTTCAAATTTACCTCTCTCAGTCTCACGATCTAGGGTATACTTGACATTGTTTGGGGAGCATATCAAGTCTGCAGCTATTTATTGGAGAGTCCAACAAGCATCACATAAAGCTTTTATGTAAGCTCTCTTCTGTTCTGACAATTCTCTATGCTTTTTGGAACATGGCATGACAACAAAACTTAATATGTAGTTTTGAACACCATTTTTATCATGGTTTATTTGTGTATGCCATTAAATTGATTTCTTCTAACATATACAGGTACCACATGCTCCTTGCTTGCTTCTTTCTATATAGTTAAAACACTGCATAAGGTACCATTACAGTTATTTCAGACACTAAGTTTGATCAGTATGTTCATTCAAAAAGAACCATTATGACATGGCCTTGGTACATGTGTATGGGAATTCTAAAGAATGATAAGTATTCTTACCCTGGCTCATTCAATTGTCAACAGGGATCAGTGAAGTATTATCATAGTGTTGAAATTTACATTCTCTAATGGCATGGAAGAATTAGCCCAATAAAATGGAAAGAATGACAAAATATTCTCTTGTCCTAACAATTTTGCAGAGTACTGTTCTTACAATGCTAAAAGTCAGGTTGCAATACCTGTGGTGGTCATAGCACAGATAGCTTGTTGAATATCTTTGTGTTTAACAATAAATCAACCAACCAACTAATATAACAAAGAAATAGGTCACCTAGTGAGAACTTAAGGTAAATAAACTATCAAGTTACATCATGTGATGACAGCATATATGTATTCCTGAAGAATAAATTTTTTACTTGTTTTTCGTTTTTCATTTAAATTTTCTTATCTAACCTAACAAGTTTTTAAATTTAACATTTTAGTTACGTTTGTTAATAAATATATATATATAGATAGATAGATAGATAAAAATAAAAGAAAATTTAAGCACTTATTAGATAACAGTACAAACAAATACACACACACACACACACAC